GAGGGAGAGAGAGAGGGAGAGAGAGAGGGAGAGGGAGAGGAGGGAGAGAGAGAGGGAGAGAGGAGGAGGAAGAGGAGGAGGAGGAGGAAGGGAGGGAGAGAGGTGAAAGGGAGAGGGGTGGGGTATGGAGAGGGAACAAGAAATAAAGTAACACGAATCACCACACCTTGATAAGTGTTTCGTAGTAATATATTTTCTTCTTATCCTTGCAATGACGTCTCAAGTTGAAAGTCATATTGGTGAATAAAAGTTGCTGGTTTACCCTTCTCCGCCTGACGGTCACCCTAGAAAAAGGAAGAAAAACCTCGTGAAAATAAACCCCAATGTGAAATGGCAGTTGAATCGACATCAAGACGATGTGGAAATGGTTGAACCGACATCGAAACGTTGTAGTTTCGACAATAGACCTTTTTGACAGTGGTTGAGGTCTACGGTGCGCTCCGAAATTTGTCACTAGGTCCGCGACGGTCTACTCCGTACAGCATGTGCCGTAACGGTCCATATCTTTACGGTCTGGCCCGTACATAAAATGTATGGGATGGACTGTAGGCAAACCGAACAACGTTAAATACTTTTATCAGTAATCGTAGCGCAACAAACGGAGGGCTTGTCTCTTTGAGCTGCGGAGTCAGAATCTGCTATTTGTGCTAAATAAGAATTTTGCGGGCGATAAAAGTTTAGCCCCTTCTCCACCCACTCCCCCTCACCCTACCGTCAAAAGGGTCTATTTGGAATATTTTTTTTATGAAAATGCAACAGGTTTTCGTGGCAACGTTGCGATCTCGGCCCCGCGCCGCGCGCCTCTGAGCGAGTGGTAGAAACGACCCAAACGTGTTCGGTTAGAAAATTGGCCAGCGCGTAAAGAGACATACGGAATTGTGCACAAAATACAATTTAGGAAATTTTGTCCCCTTACCTCCTACACAAGACACATCACCCAAGAAGCGAACCCCTCCCCCTCCAGTACCTGCGAATGTCTGAAGGGATTCGCACAGCAAGGAAACTCACTTCCGCTCTGTACACTTAAAAGGAAAGACCTTTACGTGTGCACTCTAAATGTCCAAGGACAATTTTTGTAACTAGCACCGGACTTCTGTGTGCATAACTAGCCCAGATACAATATTGTAACTACCAACACACATTTAGTGACTAGCAAGTCACAATATTGTTTCTGAATTCAGTTATGCACGCAGAAGTCCGGTGCTAGTTACAAAAATTGTCCTTGACATTTAGAGTGTGCATTTTGTGGGAAATGTTTCAGAGGGGCTTGGGGCCTTAAGCTGCATCTCCGAACGCACACGGGTGAGAGCCCTTGAAGTGTTCGCACTGCCCCAAGGAGTTCGCCGACCACAGCGCCCTGAGTGTACATTTCAGGTTTCACACCGGTGAACGGCCGTTCAAGTGCACGTTCTGCGACAAGGCCTTCCACCTCGGGTACCACCTCAGGCACCACATCCGGACGCACACCGGTGAGAAGCCCTGCAAGTGCGAGCACTGCCTCATGGCCTTCGCGGACCCGGCCACCCTCGCTCATCACCGGACGATCCACGAATAAATAAAAGAGTTCAAGTGCACCGTGTACCAAAAGGAATTCAGGCTGGTCGCTGATATGAACAAGCACCTCAGGAACCACACTCCGCGCACCGGAGACGGACGGCAGCCATCATCGCCAGAGCGAGACGAGCCGCCCGGAGACATCGTCTCTCTCTGTCGCACTCACTGACGCGTGCATAAGTTCATCTCTCTCTCCTCACTCTTGACTCGCCCAGGCCGGCTGGGTTGTCCAGCTCGAGGCAGCAGCTCACACCTAGCCGGGACCCCTGTAGCCACTACGCCGACAGGGGCCCCTACGAGTGCAGCCTCTGCCATAAGTTCTTCCGGTCTTCGAGCCACCTCATCGGCCAACTCGTCGAGAAATAGAGCCGAAACAGTTGGTGAAACAGTCGCGAATTACCCCCGAAATACTGCGAAATGCCGCGAAATAATCCGAAATAATCGTCAAATAACTGAAATGGCAGGAGAAAAATCACGAAATAGCCCGTACCCTACGAGCCCAAGTGAGGGGGCGTTTGTTTGGTACTCACCCACTTCGGTCCAAAGATGAGCACGTCTCATTCCACTCATCCGCCATACTCAAAGCCCTGGCCATGACAAAAACAAAAACAAACTGGAGTAGCGAGCACGAGAGGAGCAGAGAGCGAACCCAACGGAAGGCACTACCAGAGTGACGAAGCAGAACACGACGGAGCACGTGGCCGACGTTCTTTTCTTCTTCTTCTTCTTCGATATCTGCGCTACCAACTGCCTTTTCTTTCTTCCCATTCCAAGCATCATCTGCAATCCCTCTTTTTTTTTGTTTTTTTAATACTCCAGGCAGCCCTGCATTTTGAACAGAAAGTGGAAAATGTGTCCGTCCTTACACCAGCCTCAAAATGGGTGGCCACACCCCGCCAGCCTGGGCAGTGTCGAACCCACGCCTCTTGGGCTCAGAGCCGAGTACGGTAGCCACTGGCCCATGTGAAAGCTGCGAATAGAATACCCATGTCCAACAGTCTTGAGTCCGACTCGACGTTTGTCTCGGGAAAAATTGATTCCCGGAGCCGGTATCCGAACCACGCTCCAGAGGTACAGCGCGCGCGCTCGCTACTAGCGCGGCCAGCCAGTAGGGAGGTGCGAGAGTCCGCTTTTTTTCAGTCGCCGAATCGTAATAGTGCGGGAAAGTTGCCTTTTCACATCCGAAATCTAGACGTAATTTTATTTTCGCGATCGGAATGAATCTTGAACTCGAGATTTGAGCTTGAAGTTTAATATAAGGTTCTTATAGGCATTTATGTAAAAAACAGAAAATTTGGCCTGGACCGCACAGGTTCCGCCACAAACAAAATCTGAGGCCATATCCGTGATCTACGTAAGAAACCGAGTCAGGAGACGTTCCGCATGCCATGCTCCTCCCTCTAATTTCCGAGTAAATTTTCCAAAAATGAATGGTTTTTTAGTAAAAATGGCTAAATTTACTCACTTTAAAACTGTTATTAGATGACGGAGTAAGGTATTTG